TTGAATTTCCCATCACATTCCAAACCCAACTATATAATTTTCCCCAATTTTTGTTATAATTGTGTCCAAGATTTTCACATTTTTGTACTTGAGTTAATAGGGTTTTGTTCAATTTGATGTCCCAATGACCTGATTAGGCAAAATTGATGCCAAAATTTAATTACCCACATCTGATTAACCCTAGAAACGATGGTCTCATGGTTCAACAATTTTATATTGGGCACGATTCTCAAATTGGGTTCAAAATTCTTAATTTTCAATTGAATTTTGGGGTTTTCTGATTTCTTTGAAAAATTGTGCAATTGGACTGACCATTATGTAATTCAAGGTCCCAGAATCATTTGTTGTGAAGACACTATGACTTAAAAATGACTAGAAAAGATTTAATTGCATTTTTTGTTCAATTTGGGTTTAATTTGCCCAATTTTGGGAAAAACATATACCCGATTGAGAGTTTTCAAAATTGATGATGTATTCATGAAATTGGATTTAAAATAAAACTAATGACTATTTTTACCAAATTTTATGATTCCATTTGCTATTTTTCTTGATTTTCTCATTTATTTTGACTAAAAGAAATTAAGGAAAAATGCAGAAAAATGCTAAAAAATTATTTTTTTGTTTAGAAATAGGTTTCTAGGCTTGGCCAAGATTCCTAGTCCTTATTTTGAGATTTTTGAAAATATGAAAAAAAATGAGCTAAAAATCAGGTGTCAATAGAACCTCAACTCACTCTCTCGCTCGATTTCTCTCTCTCTCTCTCTCTGGATTTTCGTCGAGTAGGTTCTATGCTCGGATAATGATCTGCCTGCCCTTTTCAGCTCGATTCCCACCACCTTCTCGCTCCAACCAACCTCTGAGTTTGTTATAATGGATAACTGATGGCAGCCGAGATTCTCCGGCTGTTATATCGGCATTTCTCATGTGTTTATAGTGGGATCAAAGTCAGTGAAAGGGCGGGTCCAAGAAGATGTTTTTCTTCTTTTCCAGGCGTGGGGACGAGTCGGGTGGAGAAGGAGACCAACCCGGGTCAGGTCAAGTCGAGTCGATTCGACCGACCCGGTAGACCCGGGTGGGTCCAAATTCGCAAATTAACCCCTATTTTGACCCAATTTTTCAAATTTAACCCCAAATTTCGAATCCTTGACACTTTTTACATCAAAATATGAAATCAACTTGAATTTTTGTTTCAATTAGATAGAAAATTCCCAAATTTTGATTCGGATTAATTGGGTTTTTATTCAATTCAGTGTCCAAATGACCTAATTAGGCAAAATTGAGGCCAAAATTGAATTACCCATGATCAATTACCCCCAGGACAGTTATTGTCTTCAATCAAAAATTTCGAATTGAATAAGATCCCCAATTTGGGCCTTAAAATCCCTAATGCTCAATTGATTTTTGGAGCTTTTCAATTATTTTGTCAAATTGTGAAATTGGACAAACCAATATGCAATTCAAGATCCCTAAATCAATTTTTGTGAAGATACTATGGTCTAAAAATAACTAAAAATGACTTAATTGGATTTTTAGTTCAATTAGGGTGTGAATTTTACCCAATTTTGGGAAAAACATATCCCCAACTGAAATTTTCCAAAATTAAAACTTCAGTGATGAAATTGGAATTAAAATAAGACTAATGGTTATTTTTATGGAATTTTTGAATTCCATTTGGTATTTTTCTTGATTTTTCGATCATTTTGGCCAAAAGAAATTAAGGAAAAAATCAAAAAAATTCTAGAAAATTTATTTTTGGTTTAGAAATAGGTTCCTAAGCATGGCCAAGGTTCCTAATCCTAATTTTATGATTTTTATGTAAATTTGAAAAATAGGCAAAAAATTAGGTATCAACAAACCTATGACAAGGTAAGTTTCAGGTTTCAAGTTTCGATGGGTACGTTCTAGGTTTCAAGTTCCGATGGATAGATTTCAAGTTTCAAAAAATGAGAAACTTGTACCCGATGGTAGATTCTAGGTTCTAAGTGGAACTTGTAAGGAACCTGGAACCGCTCACCCCTAGTGGTGGGCTCTAATAACCTAAGGCTAAATTGTATTTAAACTTCAATAAGATGAAATATAATCAAATTAAACTCAATTAGGCCCGTCTTGCCTTGAAATTTTTTGTCACAATGCCCTATAGCTTGATCGAATTTTGCTTGACGTGTGAGCCAAATCTACGCAACTGATTTGAGTTTATTTGCCATTGTCGGTTCGATGCAAAATGCAATTAAACTACATGTTCCTGGACTATATACTATGTACTTTTACTTTAATATTTTTGTTTAGGGGTTAAAGATTAATCCCTAGTTTTATACACAATTAATTCCTAAATGGTTAGTCGAAATTTAGGTGTCAACGGTAGGGCATAATCTCTGGTCGAAAGAAAATTAGGGCATAATCCTGCGTTGTTGTTTCGAGCTAACTTCTATAGGCTACTAGACATTATGACATTCTGAAATCCGACCCACTGGGATTTATGAAATGAATAGTTTATGGACGTGCTTGCAGTTAGATCTCGCTCGGAATTGATCACTTCCAAAATTCTAACCGTTAGAGAAAGGCTAATTAGGGATTTAAATTCGCGCGACCAAAGAACTCAATCGTGAACCGACTTTCGACCATGAAAATCGTCGAGGTGACATTTTGAGCCACTGTAGGCCGATCCAAGGATAGCTAGGGATCAGTTCGCCACTGTCATACGAGTGGATCGCGGGTGATTCCGCTTGACTACGAAATGAATTGATGAATGACCCCAAAACCTATACCAAACGATCGTGCCCGTCGGATCTAGCGATCGATCCTCGCGATTAAGTGATAATCGAGGTCGTCACGACCCGAGTAAACTTGAACGTGGCTAGATTTAGTATCGGCCATAGGTCAACAGTGCGAATTTCCCCAAAAGCCACCCGCAAGTCTGAGATACGCGCAAGTTACGTTATTTAGAACTTAGTCGTTGATTAGAGAACGAGTTGGGCATTGGAAATTTAGAAAGCCACGACAGATCATTTGGACGATGTTGTCATTTGCTCGGTTAGCCTCGGATTTATCCGAATCCTTCAGAAAAATTGAATTTTGGCGTGAAATGGAAAATGACCATTTTACCCCTAGAAGTTTGTTAAGGCCAATGTAATTGAGGAAGAGCATTTTGGTCATTTCGCCCTAGCCTTAGAAATAGAGATTTTTGGGCAATTTTGCCCTTGGACTTTTTGTGAAATTCCCAAATTGCCCTAAGATATTTTGGAAAAGATTCGATCTCGGCCGTTGATCTCAAGATAAGATTGAATCTTGGCCGTTGATTTGATTTGTGAGAGAGGGGCATGATGGTCATTTGACACTTCAATTATTGGCCTTGGATTATTTAAGACAAATTTCTCTCTCTCTCCTCATTCTCTCTCTCACCCCTCTCGGCAACTCTCTCCCTCTCACTCTCCCCGGTCGAGACTCTCTCCCCCTCCCACCGTGACCGTCCGCCAAGGCCAGCAGCCGTCGCCGTCCTCCCGTCCAGCCGGAGTAGCAGCGCCGGAGCAGCTCACCGCTCGCCGTGGCCGCTCGCCTAGCCCAGCCGCTCACCCCACCGTCCCTCTCTCTCCCCTATTGTCCCTCTCACCGAACCACCATCATCCCCATTTTGTCCTGTTTAGCAAACCTTATTTAGGATGTCGGGTATCGATAGACGTGATTAGGGACATAATCGGGTTAATTAGGGGCCGTTTATGGGTTATTTAGGGGATGTTTAGGGATTAATTGAATGGACTGATTTGGGGACTGATATTGGCTGATTTGAGGCTGAATTGGGGGTGCCTCAAGATTGATTTGAGGCTGAGTTAAGGGCTGGATGTTGTGGATTGAATTGACGAGCTTATGGCTCGATTTAGGGGCTAATGTTGTCGGTTTGGTATGTTGTAGTGTGTCTGGATGGTGGTGTTTGATATGGCTTGAAATGAGCATGGAAATGTTGAATATGTGCCCATGAATGTGGCTGTAATTGTGGGCCCCGATAGTGGCCTTGTATGTTTGTTGGATCGCAACTTGATCGATTGAATTGTGGGCCGTAATATGCACGCATGGGCTGAATTGAATTGTTTGTGAATTAGCCGTGTTTGGGTGCTTATTAAGCATGAGAAATGTGTGTGATTTGGTGCGTGTACAGGCCAAGTGTGATCGGCCAGTGAATTGGCATGTGGATGTCGAGCAAGTGAACGAGTGAGAAATCGTGTGTGGTGTGGTATGTGTGGTTACGGAAATCCCTGAGGCGGTACTATTATGCGGGGAATTGATCCGTCCTGAGGCGATACCATTACGTGGGCCCCGAAGTGTTGTTATTATGAATTAGTCGCAGTGAACCTGAGGCGGTACCATTACGCGGGTCACTGGCGAGTTGAGTGGAAAATATGAGATGGTCGCAGTGAACCTGAGACGGTATCATTACACGGGTCACTAGCGAGTTCGGTGAAAAGAATGTGATGAGGCAGGAACAAATGCGTGAAATGTAATTAGAATGTACATGTGATTGGAAATTGTACTACTGTGGTTAACGTGCAGGTTGCACGCAGGAAAGGCCAGGTAAGTATAAATTGTGTGCCTGCTATGTGATGGCTGAGTGTGGTTGTGTTTGTGATTGTCTGGAGGTACGTGATAGCCTAGGTGGGGTTTAGGGTGTGTTCTTACTGAGATGTATTATCATGGTTGTTTCAACCAACAATTTCAGAACCCCGACCTGAGCAATGAATCTCCCATCGCCGCCACCTGAGCGTTTTGGAGTACCGATGCACACCGACAACAGCGTTGTAGAATACCCTATAGACGAAAACATGACCTGGGTTAAGCATACCACCGTAGTTTGGGTAGATATAGGACTCCCCCTCTAGCAGGCCCACACGTATACTGCCTGGATGTTCAGAGACGGGGTGGATGAGTTTGGCCCCGTCCGTGGCTTCGACGTCCCCTTTGATGGAGTTGGGGATTGGGATCCATCAGCTATTCCCTCTCCTGACGGCGAGATGACTAGTTTTGAGACTAGTCTAGCGCAGTCCGGTCTTCAGCCTGCGCCTGCAGTACCTGAGCCTTCGGGGGCCGAGCCCAATCCGGAACCAGAGGAGTCACAGGTAAGGTACAACCCCATGGATGTAGACCTCGAGGCAATACCAGAGGAGGAACCAGAAGACGAGGACCCCGAGGACGAACCAGAAGAGGCGCCGGAAGAAGAGCCTGAGGATGAGCCCAAAGAAGAAGACCCAGCGATGGGGCCAGAGGACGCACCCGAGTATGAGCCAGAGTACGATCCCGAGTTCGCGCCAGAGGACGAGTTTGATGAGGAGCCGGAGGAGGAGGAGCGGTTCGAAGTTCCCGCGGAGTCGGGTGATATAAACAACCCAATTGAGATCGGAGCCGAGCCGGAGTCCTCAGAGGAGCAGACAGTTCAGGGGGATTCAGATTCGGATGATGAGGAATCAGACTCTGAGTGGACGCCAAGCAGAGGGCGTAGGGGCTAGAGTAGGGGTTGGGAATAGTTCTTTGAGGTGTTCCATTTTTGGAGATAGGGTATACCAAGCTACTGATCTTTTTGGATGTCGGTGGTGCATAGTATTGATATTCGGTGTGCTTGTTCATTATGGGTTGTGTATGTGAATATTGTATAAGTTTGGATGAGCAATGGAAATGGTTATTCTCCCTTTTACCCCAATTGTTATTGTCAGGGTATTTGTGGCTTTCGCTGATTGTCTTAAATCTCTGATAAGTTGAATTGGGTCGGCGATACCCTGGGACGTCGCATTATTCGACCAGAGAAGTGGGTCGCGTGCTCGATGGGGTTCGGGGCGTGACAGACACTCTCACACAGAAATTACGCATTACAAGCCAGAGCCAAATCCAAGCTTGAGGAGATAAGAAAACAAAAGGCACACTCCCAAAAATTGCATCTTGTTTCCAATGGAGAATCGGCAAGGTAGGCACGTCGACGGCAAAGACACTCGTAAATCGGAGTCGGCAAGCCACAAAAGAAAGAGAGAGGCGAAACTAGGGTTGTTGCTGTGAGAGAGAGAGAGAGAGAGAGAGAGAGAGAGAGAGAGAGAGAGAGAGAGAGAGAGAGAGAGAGAGAGAGGGAGGCGACAACAAGAGAGATGGAGCATGGTCGCTTCGGGTTGGGTTGTTGCAGGCACGGGCAGAAGTGGGAGACCGATAGAGGATCGACGATGGCGACGAGGGATTCCTGCGGCGAGAGAGGGCGACTGCGCCGTGTGAGCAAAGAGGAAATAAGAAAGTATGAGTCTACGACAAACAGAGAAGGAGGCTTAGGTTAGAAGAAAAATATGCATTGGGTTTTTAAGGCTTTATAAAAAACCAGTTCTAAATTCAGTCCGATTCCTAGGTGGTTCTTCACTCAGAATCGGATTTGTTTCTAGGGTGGTCTGGTCCGGTCCGGGTAGAACCTGTCCAATTGCACAGAGCTACTAGTATTGTTGGTTGTCCAAGTTATGGTGTGGATAGTACTTGGCTTGATCTTTCATGTGCAATTGGGAGAATGGATATGGTTATTCCATGTGCACTTATGGTATTGTGAAGTGGTTCATCTTAGTTTTGTTGGGGACGACAAATGTTGTGATATGTTTTGGTGGATGCAGTTTAGGTTGCGTGGTAGTAATTGAGTTTAAGAAAATCAGGTCACACAATGAACCTGAAAGATGGATGAAATCCAAGCAAGTGTATGTTTACTTCTATCAATTTTGCTATGAGTTGGAATGCGTCATTGAGAGATACGATGGTTTGGTTGAAGACTGAAGCTGGAAACATGATGACAACGAAAGGAGCTGAAGAGGCCATATGGTTGAATGACTCAATTAGTGATGTTGGTGTGGGCATCCGGTTGATGCGGTGTTAAGTGGAAGTAAGAGATATCACTAGAAAATCAAATTCTTTAGTGACTGAAGTTTATTTGTAAAGATAATTTGTCTTCTATTTATCTATTCAGAAACTTTCCAAGTGGTAGTAAAGGAACAAAAAATTTGATACCAGAATGGTTGGAGATTGAGAACGTAACACAAATGCGACAAAATAAATGTTCAATTCCTAAGAAATTACCCCAGGATACAGGGTATATAATACGGTCATCATCTAAGGAATCCACTTTAGAATAGAAGGTATTTAAATAAAATCAACTTGAAACAACCGCCAAACGTAGGCAATTCCGATACACCTTTTCTTTTATTTTCCAAGATAAGACCAACAATCCTAGACAAAACATAAAAAAGAAGATTGAGTTTTGACTCAAGATGGCTTCTGGAACAAAAATACCATGCATAGGACTCAACAAACTCATAGAAAGACTCAAAAACTTATTCTCGGGTAAATTGAGCAACACTTAGTAAAGTGAGCTAACTCCCTCCAAAAAGCATAAAACTGAACAAATAGAGCTTTTCAACCATGTATTATGAGACCGGACTGGAGAACGAAATCCTCATCAAATTAAAAAAGAAAGTAACTCTTAAAATTCTCTAAGCAGAGTTGAACTTAATATCCAAGCAATTTATATTATGTGTTGGATAAGGCCTAATACTCGTGAGATAATCCTCATCAAAAACTCTAAAACATGAAAATGTCCACACAAAATCTAAAAGATAGTCGGATAAACCCACTTCAAGCAGATCCATAGACTTCCAATAAACTGCTGTATTGTGTGTCTCACTTTGACAGGAGGACTTGGCTCTAAGTGATGTTAGGCACTATTTTTTCCAGAAACTTACATTCTCAAAAAAACGAATCAACAATATATTTGTAGCATATCTCTTAAGTTTTTCATTCATCCATAATCCGGTCTTATGCCTAAAACCTAGGATGCGTACGTAATGACATCATATCGATCAAAAATAAAAATAAAATAAGCATAATAACATAGAAGGCCTTGAAGAAGGAAATCCTCCCATGTACTATTACTATACAAGAAGGCCTTTTATACGGTTCTCTTGAGAATGAGGCATGAATTAAGCAATGAAGTCCCATCAAATTTGACTATCCACAAAATTCAACATATATCAATAAGATCCACTATGTTTGTTATGCTGGATCTCGCTACAAGGGCCGAGGAAAACAGAAAGATAGCCCTCCGGTATAGTTAAGTACTTTATGCCCCAGTTAGGCCCCCCAAAGAAACTTTCACATAAGAGGGAAAGACCTCAATGGGATAGAACTACTTGTGCAAAGATTTGGTTTTTAGGAATATTCATTTTCCTAAAGAAACAGATATCTCGATACAGTGACATTTCGATGTCCCCACGAATAGAAAAAACAAATTCTGAAGAAATAAAAATATTCAAACACAATATATATAAGAGGGAATGTCAAAATTTCGATTAACAACTTGTACTTTGATACCATATAAGGTAACCATGCTTTCCTTACCATGTAAAATTTCAAGCAAGAAAATTGCCAATGTAATTTAACTAATCAGTTTATAAGAGTTACGACACTTGAATAATCTCTAAAAAAAGTTATGGCATCTGGTCTACAAAAGTTATGGCACTACTAGTGTTATATTTCCAAATTAAAGTATAAAAAAATAGGGTAATAAAATATGTACAGCATATTCTTTCGCAAGGCAACTCCTGGCATTAAGTTAAGAAATCAGAAGGGAGACCAAATATATATAAAGAAACACAAACTTTTGCGACTGGGTGAGAGTCTTGTCGAGTCACATAACCAGGATGGATAAATGAGTGTCGGAGTGTTTTGACTCAAACCTAATTTTCGCCATTGAAGGAGGTGGTAGCTACGACACTTTGGTTGATTTGGAAATCACGAAATTCTTCCATTTTCTAGGCTTGCCCACTCGACACTTTGGTTGATTTGGAAATCACGAAATTCTTCCATTTTCTAGGCTTGCCCACTCGACCCAACTTCGACCGTCAATGCTGCACTCTCTCTAATAAAGAGATTTACAAGATGGAACCCAAATTCGAAACAAGAGAGGATCGGCACAGATACCTTAATGGAGTAGTGGGTTTCACCGGCCAGAGGCTCCCTCAAACTCAATATCGATTGCTCATGGACCGACGAAGCCTCAATGGCGTCGATAGCTGGTGTCGTGCGTTATTCGAATGGCGTGCTGGTGGACAGTTTTCGCAAGTGAAGTTTGAGCTCCCTTGGCGCAAGTCACTGAAGCCCTAGCTGTGAAGGAGGGCATTTAGTTTCTGCGAAAAATGAAGGAAATACATGTGAGACAGCCTGTAATGTACTTGCCAGAAGCTTCCAATCTACACAAGAAAGAAGACCAGTCCTGTGAAATATCTAGTGATTGTCATACTATGGTGGAATGTATAATGGGCTGTGAAGACAGCCCATGGACAATTAGAGGCATTATTGAAGACTGCCGGACCAAGCTGATTGGGTATGGCGAGACTCGTCTACTGTCCCTGAGAAGCCAACCAAGCTGCTGATTGGGTTGCTAAAGCCCACTATAACAAGACTCTTCGCACCAATTGGTTGTCTTTACCCCCTCTACCTCTTTGGAATATTTTATGTTCAGAAACTCCTTTATCCAACTCTGGTAGGGTTTGTTCTTATGAATGAATGAAAGCATCTTTTCAACCCAAAAAAAAAAAAACAGGAATCTTGTCGAGTCCGAATCCTCTCAGAAAAATCTTGATCAGCCCATGGGTGAGGAAAGTCCTAAGAAAGATTTAGATGGTTGCGCCTGAGAATGTGAGAATCTTTGGTCGAGGCCAAATCTTTTGAGAACCATCTTTGAACTTGGGGCTGGTCAAACTAGAACACTAATTGAGCTCAATCCATGTAATTGGGCCAATAAGCCCAAACTTGGTCAAACTGTTGCATGATACAAGTAAAACAGAACTGTTGGGAAGTACGCTTATATACAGTAAGAGTCCTTCCTAAATTCTTCTTGCCCTTCCTAACTTTCAAGTATTTTATTCTCCTCTGTTCCTAATTAGAGAAAACGCCCTCTAATCATAACTTTGATTGGTAGATTACAAGTAATGACTATCACTCAAATATAAACAAAAAAAAAATTATGAGTGATATCCATTTTTCAAAGTCATTAATCAAAAAAATGGTTGGAGGCTCCAACAAAAAATGTAAATAGACAGTTTAAACTTTCAGAACGGTTGGTTGTGGTTTGACAAAATATTCACAAGTTTTCAAGTGTTTACACTAGTAGGGATGAAGTCATGGATGGTCTTGGAGTGTTTCTGCAATGTTCAATCATGTCAAAGAATTGATAAAAATGGGACAGTGAATCTGAATCTTGAGAAAGAAAGTAGTAAAGAGAAAGTAGTAAAGTAGTAGTAGATATTTGTCGTCTTTGTCGGTTCATTTACAAAATGAACATTGTTTATTTACTAAAAAGCTTGGAGATTCTATTTGTGGTTAACCTCCCCAACTTGTGGAGCGTTTCTAGGGTTTTAGCTAGTCTTTTTATGGTACGGTATTATAAAACAATATCAGACCCAATTCTGTTGTGGGACCCATTCTTCTTAGCTAATGATATCTTCGGAATTTACATTACATTATTGGTTTGCATGTTGGGGTTGGTGAAGGATCTTAAGATCCTCTTTTCTTTGGAGTTGCACGGTGCAATTATAAATGATAGCATGGTGGCTCTCATTACAGGGCCAAGGACATCTGCTAGATATATGTTATTATATGGCCAAGGACGTCGTGATTTGTTCAATTTTTTTTCTTTTTCTAGATACATTTTCATTCTGAAGGTTTTCTTTCATGAGTTCTTTTATTTTCGGCCTCTAAATTGCTGTCTGGTTATACGTTTTCATCTTGCAAGCATAGTTTCTCTTTGGCAAAATGGGAAGCTCGTCACAAAATACAGGAACAACCGGAAATTCCAAAGTTGAAACCCAGGGCAGCACATGGACAAAATTTGACCCTTTGTCAACTTGCAGAAGCAATTGAATGAAAATAGCCAAATTTAACTTTGTTTAATACTAAAATAATTTTATGATAAGAATGTATCGACAGGAGCACACATCTCCAGCAATCTAGCTTTGTTGACAGCCACCGTACGAAGGATTCTCCACGGGATCCAGCCGTCTCACATGGCGGCTGGCGACTTCTGCCGTTGCTCACCGAAGAGATCGGCAGCAATTTTTTATGTGGATTCCAAAGGAATATGTGGATTCTCAAAACTTTAGGGCACTTCAAAGAAAGCAAAACTAAGCTACTTTTCAGTGCCCGTGGCCGCATGCTTCCGTGCGCCTGCCTCGCCGTCGCAGGTGACCATGCGGTATGATTTGATTCCCTGTCCTCTCTGTTCCACAGAAATCAAATCTTAAAGAAGTGTTTGGGCTCCTCATGTCATCAAACTCCATCTTTTTCCTCCACTGTTGGAGGTCCATGAACCAGCTTGTCCCGTTTGCCCCGTTGGGAAACCTTTTTCCTCATTTTCCTTTTCAATTTCCCCAAACAATAAACATTTCGTATTGGTTCCGTTCAAATCCTACCATCTGCATGCAAACTGTTTCGAATTAAGACCAGCTGCATGAGTTGAAGATCTGAACTTAATCAGTTCATGAGACTTACAAAATATTTTATTGTCTCTGGATAGCCATATCGGTACTCCTGGATTTTATAAAGAAGCAATTAACATTATATCCTAGTTTTGATTAAGCCTCCAATATCTCTCGTGCTTTGCATTTTCTAGCCCCTGTATCTTCATGTCTCGCTGAGTTGCTGTTTCTTGTTGCGATCTTGATAGGCAAGTGTGTGCTAGCATGCGCATGCACAAATTTATATTTGCAAATGATAATATAAGCTTTTTCTTTATAAATTTATAGCAGTATGACCTATTACAAGGAATATGTCAAATGCAATGCCCGAACTGCCTTTTCAGCAACTTAATTAAGGTTGTATTACAAATGTCTATTTAATGGGAAAATTTTTCAAAAAAAGTCATAAACATATTGCATTTATGCCAATTCACTCATAATTCTTTCAATTATGCCGATTCAGTCTTAAACAATTTGACGATTTGTCAATGTAATCCTTCTGGTCAATTATGATCGAAAAACGCTGACATGGCAATCCAGTCAGCGCCGGCAGCACCGACCGTTTTATATGGGGTTATCAACGCTGACATGGATAATTTTTAAAAAAATTTCCTATTTTTTTTCCTTCTTTCCTTTTTGCCGATAGCTTCAAGCGAGGCTAATGAAAGCTAGGTAAGGGTTGCCCTCGCAGGCCATAGGTGGGACGGCCTCTATTAGGTGAGGGTCGTCCTCGTTAAAATTGAGCAAGAGCGACCTCGTCAGATCGTAACTGTGCAATTAATTCGAGAGCTATAGAAATTAATAGAGAAATAAAACAAGGAACAATAAAAGGACACAAAAAATTTACATGATTTTGTCTGAATGTCAGAACCTACGTCTATGGAGAGCCAGAAAATAAGCCACTAATAAATTGGAGAATTATAAAGTTACAAGAACTCACGGTATGTATGAAGGAGAGCTCTTCTCACGGCTAACACCTCCTCCACTCATTTCACTCTTTTTTGCCCAAATATATATATTGAGGTCTATTGTTCATTTATTGGGACGGAGACAAACCACAAGTCACATGCTTCAATTCCACTTGCGGCTGAAAATGAGGAGCTTCCATGTGAGACCAAATCTTCTTCATTCATGTGCAGCGGTTTATGCCCTTTATTTAATGCAATGATTATGGAATCCCTCTTTTTAGACCGAAGAAGAAAAGCAAATCTTCTCTACTGAGACTCCACTTGCCGCTTCGAACAAATGACTAGCATGTGTGTCCAAATAAGAGCTCCCTTCGACAACTTCGTCACACTTCCGAAATTGTTCAGATGGATTTACATCCGCTGATTCAGATTAATTTTATATATGGGCTCAAACTCAACACGTATATTTTAACGTAAGTATTAAACCAAATATTTATTTAACTTAAAGCCATGATCGGCTTTTGGCATAGCAAGTCTTTGAGCATAGGGATAAACTTTTGACAGAGTAACAATAATGGCCTGCCCCAATGATTAAGCGAGGAAGAAATGATTCGAGCAATTTAACGGGGATGACGCGGTTGGCATTCTCTTTTACGTTTATTAGGAAAGAATTCATGACTATGTTTTATGAGAAATTTTCGAGGAATTGGCGCATCATCATTGGTCCCTTCTGATATCTGATTGAGTTTTGCTCAAGTTGGGGAATAAATTGACTCAATTTATCTAGTATGATATGAAGTATCACCTGCAAATACGTGTCACAAAAACCACTCATCTATCCTCCAAGAAGACATTATCATGTTCTCAGGGTTAAACTAAGTCACAATTTTAAGGGAATTCTAATGCATTTCTGAGAAGTCCATTCCATTTAAGTTTGCCTATCCGAGTACGAGAGAGAGAGAGAGAGAGAGAGAGCGAGAGAGAGAGGTTCGTTGCTCGTACCTTACTGCATGACGGTGCATCTTTGAGAATCTAACAATTATTGAAGGAGCAAATAAAAGAAACACAAACTGAGCTAGTTAAAAACAGAAAATTAACAGAAGACAACTGAGATTTGCATGCTTTAGTTTCACTAATATTTAGTATTTACATGGACGACGAACACTTGCACTAGCCTACCGACTCAAGCTGAAACCGAAACATCTAATCCTAATCAAAGACAGAACGGCGACACGTGAATGACAAAAATAAAGAACATGCGCAATTGAACATAACAGTATCGATGAAAGAACCCTAGTTCTAAAGCTAGTTGCCAATGCCGGGGCTCTGGCCAGGAGTCGTGGGCTTGAAGCCATTCATATGACTCGTAGAAGGCGGCGGCAATGATGGGGTCAGCAGCGACAACGGCGGCGGCAGGGGCGAAGTGGAAGACATGCCAGTATTCACAGCTTGACTTGACGTTTCACCTTGCAAATTTTTGCTCTCCTCGGCCATGGTTTTCCTTGGTTCCTTCTCTAGGAGCTTATTGATATTATGAAGCTTGTTTGGGAATGGGTTTTGCTTTTGCGTGGTTAGCTTCAACTCCCTTGCTTGAGTGGACCGGAGTTTCAGAGAGAAGGCCAGAAGAAGAAAGAGAAAGGCAAAGAGGACCTGGTTTTGGGCCATGGCTCTGAGAGAGAGAGAGAGAGAGAGAGGGGAGGGGGGGGGGGGTGGGGGGGTGTGTGGGATGTTGTGGGGACGCCGCTGTGGAGATACCTGGAGACCGCCTAACTCGCGTGATATTTATAGAATCTGAAGTTCATGAAAACAATGAGAAAATCAGATTCCCTTTAATATAAAATGCTCACTGTCTATCTCAATATTATATAAAAAGAAAATTTTAAAGTCACGCAATATACACCAATTAACCGTGCCATGACATCTTTCTTTTTTATGGGTCATATTTTCCTCCATCCCTAATTAGAGAAACCGCTTCTATGACTAGTTAGGTTAGAAATATGGACATCATCCACGTCTATACTTATTTAAATTTGTACATGAGTGATATTTATAATTTATAATCCACAATCAAAGGCATGATTAAATTATGTTTCCTTCAACTGTGGGTGAAAGAAAATATAACCCTTCTAATATAAGGCATCTGGACCTCTTAAAGCACCCGACAACTTTAATTTGGTCCGACAATCTCTCCGTTCAACCTAGCACCTAATTAATTTCTAGAGCAGGGAGCCTCAAAATACATATACTCCTTTCCTAAACATATAGAAACCGAGTGTTGTAATTATGGTGGGTCAACATATCAACGAATGTGATAAAAACGAGATATGTCTCTTCAGTTCATATATCTCTCGAGTTTATGTATCTCTTGGATTCATATATCTACTTAATTCATGTATCTCTTGAGTTCGTGTATATCCTGAAATCTTATATCTATTTAATTCATAGTTCATGTATAGCTTCTGTACATGAATGAGACTATAAATAGAGTTGAAATTCTTTATTCCAAGTATGATAAAAACACCTGCATCTCCTCTCTTCAATTTTCGCTAAGTGTGCGTTAAGGAGGTTTGGTTAGTTGTACCTTACCTCTTGTTTATTTTTGTTATTGCTCTCTCAAATTTATTGTTTTTTATTATTACAACAAACCATGTTACGTATCTTCTTTCCCCAATACGTAATTTCTTCTTCATCTATTTCCAACAATCTTAAGGCGATTAGTTGTTCTTACTGTTTGTTGGATTTATCAAAAAATCGAGATGGCTAATAATAATTAAGTACCCAATGACGTCTGGAATGTTTCTGGAAACATTCGTATGGTCGTTTCGATCGATGCGATTCAAACCTCGTGGCTTGGTATTGTGGCAGCAAATGCTGCGACCCTTTAGGCTAAAACCATATATGGTGGTTCGAGCGCAAATCGTTTGACTAATATACCCGAGACTATTAGTACAGGCCAAATGGCATATGGTTCAATTTCTAGAGGAATGGTTCAACAAGTTTTGCCTTGTTTGATGATACCACCTCCATTAACACCGAATGAGAAACTGGAGAAATTCACCGATGTGGACTTTAAACAGTGGCAGCAGAAGATGTTCTTCTATTTGAGCACGCTAAATTTGGTCAAATACTTATTAGAGGTGTGCTCAATAAGTAGTCCAGATGAGCAAGTTGTCACGACGCTCAGGGCATTGGAGGCTTGGAAGCACTGGAACTTTTATGCCGAAACTATATGCTTAAATGTTTGGTGAATTCCCTATATAATGTTTATTGTAAAATTGAAACTGCTAAATAGTTATGGGAGTCCTTAGAAAAGAAATATAAAACCGACGACTGAGGCACCAAGAAATTCGTGGTTGCCAAATTCGTGGAATTCAAGATAGTGGATTCTAAATTTATCATGAATCAAGTCTAGGAATTGCAAATAAGTCTAAACGACATCCTTGCTGAGGAAATGATACTTAGTGAATAATTTCAAGTACCAGCTATTATTGAAAAGCTGCCTCCGGGTCAAAATTATTTGAAGCATAAATGGAAAGAAATGAGTCTTGAAGATCTCATTTTGTGCCTCAGAATTGAAGAGGACAATAGGAGAAATGCAAACCCTCTTATGGAACCGTAGGCCAATACTGTGGAGTTGTCCAATTCCAAGCAAGATAGGAAGAGGAATAAGTCCTTTTAAGGAAAAGGCAAGTAGAAGGAATTGTCCCAAAAATTCCAAAGGATATGTTTTGTTTGCAATAAGTCTGACCTTCGGGCTAAGTATTACAAGAAGTGCCCAAACAAAGGCGAAGGTGGTGATGCAGCCAAGCAGCAGGAAGATAATGAGAGACTGACTGCTGTGGTGGTGTCTAAGGTGTCCTTGGTCTCGAACAATGGCGAGTGGTGGTTGGACACAGGTACCACAAATCACATTTGTGTGGATAAACACATGTTATCGTCTTACGAGAAGGTTGAGGAAGATAAGATGATTTATATGGCTAATTGTACATCGGTATAAATTACCAGGAGAGGAAAGGTGATCCTGAAGTTCACATCCGGTAAAGTGATCATCTTGTAAAATGTGCTGCATGTATCGAAGATTTGGAAGAATCTCATTTCTGGCCCCATACTTGTCAAGAAGTGTTCCAAAAAGTATTATATTCGGAATCCAAGTCATTACAAGCCAAAGAAAGTGGTGAAGACACATCATCGATACAATTGAAAGAGCTGTGCCTTGTGGAGGCCAGCGCAGTTACCACGTCAGATGAATTTGGCATGTCAAACTCATCCCCGATCAAGCTGACTAGTTCAGTGATTACCGTACCAAATATTACTCGATTGATCAAATTCCTTCCGATTTAGCTTTCTCTCTTTCTAGATAGATTTTCATTCTCAAGGTCTTTTTTACGAGTTCTTTTATGTCCAGCCTTGAGTTTGTCTAATTCTGCCTCCAATTTGCTGTCTGGTTATTGGTTGTGGTCTTCCAGGCATAATTTCTCTTTGGCAAAATGGAAGCTCATCACAACGATGCAAGAGATCATGTTAAATAATACTTGGCTAATGAAAGCCACAATATTAAAAAGTGAAATCATTCTAAAAAGATTTTAATAAGTTGCTAAAGTATGACACCACTTGTCTTTTGAATCTATAGCACTCTAACCAATTAATAAGGAAAAAATCCGTGTACTATCTCATCATATGTCACACATGATCAGGCATTAAAGAGGTCAAGTCAAAAGGTACAAGAGGTCCACAGTACCAATCCCTAATTATACATCCCATAAGGTCAAAGAAAGAAATGACGAGATCCACGGGCATTCCTCAAGCTCCTCCAACCCCAATCAAATTAAAAATAAAAAAAAGTTATTACCTTTTACCGATTGAATGAAAAAAATCAAAACAAAAAAATTTGAAATAATGAGAATCATCTGACAAAAGCAACTTTGATCGACACCTGGAAATGGGGAGGCATGTGCATGCCCCAATCACTTGCTGAAAGTGTAAAACATAAACAAAATCTGAAAATAAGACAAATTAAATAAATAAAAATATTAGAGCAAGAAGAATCATTTAATTCTCTTAGCTTCTGCTAGCTGGAGTGCAGAGTTTTGCTAAATAAATAACCATTATTGGTAATCAAGCAAAGAGCAAATAACAATACTTAAGCCGTCAAAGTCCAAAGGATCTCCTTGATCCTTATGGAATCCCAACTGTCGATAACCAACTTGTCCTTTCTCTCTCACCTTTCTTTTTCCCTTGCGGCTAGACCACAAATGGCTTCCTAGAAACCTTTCGAATCCCAACCGTCAACAATCAAATTGTTTATACAATTTCACTTTTCTCTCTCACCTTCTTCTTTACTTTTTCTCGCAGCTAGTTTTGTTTTGTCCAAGCTCACTAAACTATCTTTTTCGGTAAAAGAACACTACAAGTGCCATAAGTTGTGTACGGCGCTCACATTGGTGCCATAAGTTTTTTTTGGATCACTTCAGTACTAAAATTTTTGAAAAACGATCACTTAAGTGTCAACTCTGGTGCCGTACACAATTTTTCGCCGGAAATCCGACGTGGCATTTTTTTCATTAATTTCTGAAGCTGACGTGGCTCGCCGGAGATTAGCACTTAAGTGATTATTTTTCAAAATTTTTAGCACTTAAATGATCGTTTTTCAAAAATTTTAGCACTGAAGTGATCCAAAAAAAACTTTTGGCACTTAAGTATCATTTTTCCTCCGATTTGGCACTGAAGTGATCCAAAAAAAACTTATGGCACCAAAGTGAGTTCCGTATACAACTTATGGTACTTATAGTGTCATTTTGCCTATCTTTTTCTGTGCCTAAGTTCACTACACTTGGAGTTGAATATGAACGTGTCATTAATCCACTCTATACGGGATGTCGCTCCCAAGAATGTCCTCAAACTACGAAGAACCACGTTCAAATAATCTGATAAATATAAATTTTCTTGTTCTGAGATATAAACACATTAAAGTGCGCATTAGGAAATGTACAATCATCACTTGTCGAATGATTATGAAAGACTATTTGATGAAGTCGTTACGGTAACTTTTGATTGGTTTAATCACACGAAATGCGGTGAACTACATTGGACCGGATTTGTGTCATATAACGGAACAAAAGTCCTAAAAATGTTTTTCGCATTGTCATCAACGGTCTTCTGAACAGGCGATCTTCCTTGTATCTATCTGTATTGACTGTTTGAAGGCCATTTTACCGGTTTTTCAACCTTATGTAAATGATTATAACTTTGGGCTAGTGACAAAGTATTAAAAATTCAGTGTGCCATTTAATTAAGTCCCAAAAGTTGTGACTTGTTCGATTAACTTCTCCAGGTGTCAATCCAATCTCTTAGTTTAACTCTCATGTTTAGTTGCGCAATAATTGAAAATGAAAACTTTTTAAGCCATGTAAAAGTATTGTTGGCACCTATTTTTAATTGCCCAATTAAATTACACAAAATTTAGGGGTTAATGTCCTTAATTTCAAAAATCAAAAATTTTTTTATTCAATTGCATTGCATATAGACATAGGTATATTTTGCATTATTATAATGTATTTTTCTTCTTTAAAAGAATTTTAAAATTAAATTTAAAAAATTAATTAATTAAATAAAAAAATCGGATCGGGCCGGCCCGATCTGGCTTTCTTTTTCCTTTCTCTCTTCTG